TGAGATAGGCTCGACTGAAAAATAGTGACTGGTCCATCCATGGATGAGAACTGGTTTCAATCTATACCTCCCTGGTTTTAGTCCAGTACCATAATCCCTGCACCCTACAAGCTGTCACATTCCATGTTTCCTTTCTCTGCCCAAGTCCTGTGATTGGATCTTCTGTGTCTGCCTCGCTGCTGCATTTATATATGAAATCAAACAGGTTATATTCCCTCAGAAGGTTATATTGTTCTTCAGAATATCACACAGCTCTGTTCCAACATACAACAAGTTATGAGCTATTCATTTTTGTGAAACCTCAATAGTGAAGACTATCAGACAACCTATTTGAAATGTGTTGACATTGTCAGAAGTGGCTGCTAGGCACTTAAATTTTGTCCAATCTGTCCCCCCAATTTTTTTTTTTGAGTTAGAACTGTTGATTTATTTAGCCATTAAAACCAATGGTAAACAGAAAGCTTTGAAGCTGAAGCAATGGTAAGAGAGGTAGAACATTAATGGAAGGTGAAGAGGTTCACCCAAACTCCCAGATGCCAGATTATGGTCAGATAGTTTATATTTGGCTTATAGGCCAGATTTTTGCTCTTTCTGTTGGAGCAGTGTTTCTCAAACTTGGCAACTTTAAGATATGTGGACTTCAATGCCCAGAATTCTCCAGGGAATTGAAGTCCACACATCTTAAAGTTGCTGAGGTTGAGAAACACTGTATTAGAGCCTATTGCATGTGTTTAGTGTGAATATAATTATATAGATGTATAATTAACTTCCAAACAATTATATTGACTGGATAAGGGAAAAAACATTATTGTTGAATAAGTTTCATATTTTTTGCAACAGTTTTACTCCTGGTATAAATGCCAAAGCTACTTCTGTCTAAATTATCATATGTGAAGTCTGGAGGTTAATAGTGTTATATAGAGGGCTTTTTACACTTTTCAGTTTTGCATATATAATGACAAGATAACCTATCAAAACATTATGGAAGGCAAACTGAACAGAGAGCTCATTATTATTACATTATTCATCAAAAAAAGATAATGAAAATACAATAGTTTCCAGGGTCCATAGACAGCATTCTCTGAAAGATTTATTTTGGTAGGAGTTAAGGGCAATAAGTCATGCTTTATGAATGTCTACATACTGATTTTTTTTTTCAACTGAGAGGAAGACTGGCTGTAAAATATACTCTACATACCTCTGTATTAGATTATTTGCTTCTTTGATTCCTTCCCCACCCCCCACCCCAGCCATTAAACTTTGTAGAGAAACAGATAGGTAATTTCACTCTTGACAGCCAAGTACTACTTTTTGACCAGTTGACTTCCTTGTCCTCTTTCAGGAAAAAGAACGTTAATTTAACTGCAGTACATTGCCAGTAGTAACAATTCAAGTGGAAATATTATGAGGAAGCAGTTTTGCAAGGGAAAAAAAAAAAACCCACGTTTTTGATAAATTGCAATATTCTGAAATTGTAACTTGCATTTGATTCCCCTTATGCATGTGTCCAGGGTTACCATGGTATCATCATCTTAGCCTCCTTTTTTCTTCTCTTAAGCCTCCAAGTATTCAACCACAGCTCTCCATCATTCCTATCCAGCAAGGCCAATAGCCAGGACTAATGAGTTACACCAATGTGTAGAGATCCAGGACTGGGAAAGGATCATATCATAGTGTTGTTAGCAGTGGTCCTCTTTATACACTCTACATGGGCTTATATTATTAACTTGTACAAAATGACACTATTATTCCCTCTTTTTGATAAAGTGCAGCACATTTTCTTCATTTGGTCAACTGTTATAAACTTATTAAACTGCTACATGTATACAGTCATAAATAACAGTTTGGCCATTCATTTTATAAGCTGTTATTTGCATTCATCTCTTGATTACCATGAGTTATTACCATTATGCATAGTAGGTATATTTTTTCTGCAATTATTGTAAACTGTTTAATTAGACCGCTCTCATTTATTCTGTATTTGCTTTGCACTTTAAGATTTCTTTAGAAGCTTAAATAATTCGCATTTTCTTCAACTCTAGGAAATTGTTGTTATTTATTTAACTGCTGACATAGCCACAGAAAAACATGTCATCTTATATTCCTTTCTTTAGCATGTTAGGAACTGGGGAAAGCACACTCTGAAAAAAGGGCATATTTCTCAGAATTAAACAAATGTGCTACATTATGCACTTCTTCATCCAAACGTAGCCTGAAATTCAGAGATATGAAGGGAAATTAGATATGTCTGGGTGGTAAACATAAATAATATAGATTGTGGTAGTTTGATCCTCTCTCAGAAATTAGTTAACAACAGTAATGGAAAAACCAGGGGAATTTGAATTATGGATTATTTCAGCTGGAAAGATCTACTATAAGGTGAGGCACCCTCAATTCTTCCTATGCAGCCTCATTGTAATGGGGTGGGAGGTTCCTACAAGGGATGAAGAAGGGTTATCCAAGACATAAGGTCACCCCAACTGCCCAAAGCAAGCAGACACTTATATAAGGCAGCAGTGATATAGGAAGATGCTGGAGGAGGAGGATCACTTTAGTGACAACAGCTGTTCCTCAGTAGCATGCTGAGTGCCTTTCAACCATCATCTGGCACTCTATTGTCAATCACTTTATATTGTCTATCCATGTAATTTTCTTGGTAATGCATGGCAGAAGGCAATGGTAAATCACTCCTGTAGTTTATCAAGGAAATCACATGGATACAGTATTGATGCTTTGGAACTTTGGTGTTTGAAGACACCTGAGAATACAATGTGTATGGTAATAAAAAACAAATGGATCATAGAACAAGTCAATCGACAATTCTCACTTGAACCACAAATGACCAGGCTGCAATTATTTTATTTTGAAGAAATTATGTGAAGATCTAGCTCTCTTGAGAAGTCTATAATCTTGAGAAAGGTAGAAGGAAAGAAAGAAACACTCAGCAGATGTTCCTTAGCCCAAGGAAAATAATCAGGTATTCCTTTTGTACCTGACAGTCATCAAGAGAAACTTCCAAATGGGGCATTGTTAATGGAAATACTATCTTTTGCTAGAGTACTAAAGACAGCAGAATGCCCATCCATGAGGCGTAGTCTAGCTACAATTCTGTACTGCAGGTGGACTAGATGACTTCCAAGGGATAAGTTCCAGTTCTATACTGCATCCATGTCTGTTAAGATGTCTGAACATCAACTCCCAGAATTCTCCAGCCAGCATGCTGGCTGGGGAATTTTGGGAGTTGAAGTCCAGACATCTTGAAGTTGCCAAGTTTGAGAAACACTGTCATAGATTATCATGACTTAAAAGCAATAACCAAGAATAAATTATGCCCCATAAATAGGATGAAACCAGGAGCTGTATGCCAGATGTAGTTACATAATTCAGGTAGTATCTGCTTTCAGTTATACTTATTTTGAAGTTCTATTGTGCATTCCGCATGACAGAATATCTATAAATAATGCAATTTCCTGTGCATGATTGATAATGGATTTATTTCTCTGGTACGCTTAACATGCTATTTGATATCCTATCAACCTAAGGGAAACATCACTGCCAATCCTGACATGTTTATCTTTGCAAAGTCAAACCAAACTGGTTATCTAAACGGGATAGCTCTTCTCTGTAATAATCTTCTGTTGATCTTAAGCTATTTTACAGAGAGTATATGCTGTAACAGCTGTTTTAAAAAGTACATCATCGAAATGCTTCACTGTTTATATTTGAGGAAACTCTTATCTCAAAGAGTAGAGAAAGAAGTCAAGATAGGATTTTGGGATTATCTCTCCTATATTGATAAAACAAAGTGCCTCTTTTCCTTTCAGATGACTACCAGAAATCTACATGGATACAGAGAAACCACACATATTTTTAACACGAGTTTGGCATTAATTGCTATAAGCCATCTTTAGAATTGAACTGATTAGCAACAATTCTGTTTATACACAGCTTACTCATTAAGTTCCATGGATTGCAATTCCCAGGTAAATCAGTACAAGCTTGCAATCTAAATGCATTAAATAAATACATTACACATTCTGAGTTAGGACTATTGACCATCGCACACTATGAGTCAGGTGTCACGTAAATGGTGCAGCTTCCATGGATAACTAGCAAAAAAATGGCACACCACCCAGCAGACATATCTTTTGAATTATTTTTTTATGCAAGGCCCTATTGATAGCTATATTGATTTCCCCCTAACCCCAGCCCCAGCCCCGTACAGAAACCTGATGGTTTTGTTCTATGGCAAAGACTTGGGATTGACACTACCACTTGAAGACAGCTTTCTAGGTGAACAGAACTGTGATGATTATTCATGGAATTATTTATAAGATATGATCAAGCATTACCTTTCAAACTGTAAATTGGAAGAGCTGAATTGAAGTTTACCATTTATCTTTCTTTAGAGAGTCTTTCTTCGCCAATAAGCTCTCAATGACTTTTCTCTCACATCAAAGGTTCCACTTCATACAGATCTCCACTTCATATAAATCACATCCTAGCAGAACAGATGCTATGCAACATTTTTCTCTGCTTTCAGTCATTTCCAGTGACTTTAAATTCCAAAATGATTCCACAGAATTGCTGTCTGATATTTAAGGCTTTACCAGTATAGATTCCTACCAACTCATTCACCACTATCCCTTCAGCTATTTTCTCAATAAGATTTCCTCAAAACAGAAGACCTGCCCTTCTATCAACTGTCCTCTTCAATTATACACAAATGACCTAATCACCATTTCCCTATTGATAAACTGATAAAAAAAAAATCCTGATCAGAACCTCTAACCATTCACCTTTCTTATGGGTATTCCAACTATCACTGGCCTAAATACATTTGCCCTTGACCAATCCAAATTGTGCTTTATTATATTCTAAGTATTTTAAAACATTAAGCTGAAGTTTGGCTTCTATGGGAACCATTCTTAAGGCAACTAGCCACCATTCATTCCTACAGCATTGAAATATTATATAGATGAACAGGCAAAAGCTCATACCTTGGAAAGGTGATGTCAAAACTGGGATTTTTATTGGTGACAAAGTCAGCACATGACATGGTTGGACACTTGATGGAAGTCCCTGAGGGGGCTCAGCATCTATGGACAGCATGGCTGCTGCAAATGCAATGGTCTGGTTGCTTCCAGATTGTTTAAGGGAACCACCTATGAAAGAAACAATTACAATTTGGATTATGTTCATTGCACATTAGAATTCTTCAACATTCATATAAAATCTGTTACTTAGCAGTCCAGCCCTGCATCATGGTCTGATGACAGATTGCTTTGAAGCATTTTCTTCTTTCCTCTTCCTAGCATGACGAAGAAAGCTATATTTTGCCAGGCTTATAGAACAAAACAATTTCCCCACTTTTCATGTAGGAACCACAGTGGGTCAGATATTCAAGTTCAAGAATTACTGCAGGACAATCAGTAAAATATAATTTTCATCCAAAAGGTACAGGTTAAAATTCCTCCTCAACATGGAATATATTGTAAATTTTTAAAAATTGGGCACTGCACAAAGAAGTGGGTAAAAGAATAAAGTACTAGTTTCTGAAACCTGTTTTCAAAGACAGAATTATCATAATGTATCATAAATTATAATGGGGCTACCACATATCATTTACTCATATAACATCCCCAAGGTTACCATTTCAGCTGTGAGACCTAAAATAATTACCTTTAGTAGTGGTGAGCAATCTCTTGGCTTAATGTTATGAAGGTGAGGGAATTGATATATCAAAAAGAGGGCAGGTGAGTGAAGTTTTAGGGGAAGGCCAAAGTAATAAAATGATGGACTAGTTCAGTGTTTCTCAACCTCAGCAACATTAAGATGTATAGACTTGAACTCCCAGAATTCTGGGGGTCTGGGGAATTCTGGGAGTTGAAGTCCATACATCTTAACATTGTTGAAGCTGAGGAACACTGAACTAGATGAAGAAGTTTGCAGAGTTTAGATTTCAGGCAAACTCACCTGACCCTCTTTAGCAGCCTGGTGGGGCAAGGAGAGAGAGAAAGCTAGAAAGAAGATGACTGTCTCAGCAAAAACAAAGAAAAAGAATGGAGAGAAGGAGGGAGAGAAGGTGAAAATGATCTGGAAGAAACCAAGAGAAATTGCACGGTGGTAAAAACAGAGTGGGGGAAAAAAAGTGACACCACCAGACAGCAGCAAAGAAGCAGCTTCTTCTATTAATCACTTTTTGCAGCTGTAACTGATAGCTCTAAGAAACAGGGAAAGGAAAAGAAAGGGGATAATAGAAGGGGGAAGAATGGACTGACAAAGAGGGATACAGTGACTGAGGTGGGGGTGAGGTGTCTTTTTAAATGAGAAAATATCACTATGCAGCTCAATCCAGGCCCAACATGCAAGGTGCAACATATTAACCCCAAGAATACAGCCTACAACAACAACAATGAATCATATATGCAGATTATATCTATATCTACACACACACACATATAAATTCCCCTCTCACCCCTATAGGTGGTATGTGTAAGTCAATGTCTTGTTCATTCTTAGCATACAGCTTGATGTCATCCATGTAGAAAAGGTGGCTGATGGTGATTCCACTCTTGAACTTGTACCTGTTTCCAATTATTGTGATTATCTGGCTGAGAGGGTTTAAGCCTATGCAGAGCAGCAGCAAGGACAGTGCATCACCTTGGTATAAGCCGCACTTGATGGCCACTTGTGCGAGCTGTCTTGAGTTGACTTCCAGCGTTGTCTTCCACAGTCCCATTGAGTCCTTGAGGAAAGTCCTTAGTGTCCTGTTGACTTTGTATAGCACCAGTCATTCACAGATCCATGTGTGCGGCATTGAGTCCTACTCAATCCAGGCTGCACTCAGATTGGTCTGCCTAGACCTTGAGTCTTGGGCGACTGTGCTATCT